ACCCTGTGTTTGGCTATATCTCGGTGTCCAGGTGGGTCTTATTTAAATTGCTATGCAGTAAATAATTTATTTATTGTTGGGTTGGTATGATCAATGCATGCTTGTGAATTTTTGTAACCTTCGATGTGAGCTGGATGTCCTTCGAACGGTTGTCCCCGTCGTTGAAAGCTTTATGTCCTTCGACGGTGTCCTTGTGTGGCAATCTCCCTATGTCCTAATGATAGGCCATACTGTTGAGAGCTGTATGTCCTTCAGTATGCACTCCCATTGTTGAGAGTTGTATGTCCTTTAATGGCTAATGATAGATGTGCACATGAGTGAGGTTATTGGTGTATTGATTGGAGATGTGACATGTTGAATTAATTTATGATCATGTTGTGACCATACCCTTGTTATATTATGTTGTTATTTACGTGCATAGTGGTGAGCACTATTGTTCCTCTTGTGCTCATCCCTACCTGCTCTTCATGGATGCAGGTTAGTATATGCGGGCACGACGAAAGGATGCGAGTGGTGGTCTTTTTATATGTCATATGCTTCCGCATTGTTGCACTGATTTAAGTTATTTATGCATTATTGGATTATTGATAAGGAGGTGCTCCTTAGATGTTATGAATTTGAGAAACCAGGTTGGGGAGTTAACATTAATAAAGAACCCGTATGGGGAATGAATTTATGATTGAATATTGATGACTATCGATGATTTTTTTTAAAAAAAAAATGAGTAGCGCCGCCAATGATTTTGAAATAATTTTAAAAAAATTATTCTGTTTTTCAGCAAATAAAAGTGGGGCGTTACAGTTTGGTATCAGAGCCAGTCTGCGTTTCTGTAGACTGGTTAATGTGAATTATGTGATTATGTGCTTTGACCTTAAGTTATGACCACTCGCTCTCGTCGTGCCGCGCCAGTTCATGTATGAGTACCTGAATGATTTTGAGATTATTGTGCATCGCTTAATTATTGATCATTGAAATGAAATCCATGGCTTAGGAATTTATCCACCTATATTGAATTTTGATGAACTCTAGAGACCTTCGTCTCGTGCTAGGATTGTGGTATATATATATATATATATATATTAGTATTATGTCCTGTTAAGCTCAGATTTTTGCAGTTCTTTTGCTAAAAGTGTTTGTTAGAGGTATGCTGTAAAAGCTGTGTTTTGCAGTTTCTATCAATTCCATTTTGA